AATGAATACATTAAAATAAAAAAATAAAAAATAAAAGTATTGTTGAGAGGTCTTAATGAATGCTATATAATCTTAGTTATATCAAAGCTAACCTGAGTGAGGATTGAATAAATGAAAGAAAATGGCTATATAACAATAGTGTATATAAACTTGAATGCAATAGTGGTTTTTATAGAAGACTTAAAATGAATGTGAAGCTTGATCAGGTGAATGTGATATGTAATATTTCAATTATGCCTTGTTTGTAAAAAAATAAATAGAAATATAAAATAAGTGCTCAATGTTTTCTGACTTTAGACTAATTTGGGGGACATTTTTTAATAACACTATTCAAAAAAGCTTCTTAGGAAATTAATCATTTTCAATATTTCTCAGAATCAACAATTTTGTAATTTTAGTGGCAATTTTTCACTTCAGATTGTGTGTGTGTGTGTATATATATATATATATATAATATTGACTGTAAAATAAATGTATTAAGCCTTTTCCTTTTTTTTTTATATATATATATATATATATATATATATATATATATAATAAAAAGGAAAAGGCTTGATGTGTTCATTTTGCAGTCAATATTGAAAATAGGTTATTATAAGGATTTTTTTTTAAATGGATGTAATCTGGAAATCTGATCTACCACAAGGCATCAAGCAGAGATTCTTTTGAGCCATTGTAGAGGTGGTGTTAATGTATGGTGCCACTGACTTGACATTAACTAAAACCCTAGAGTCTAAGCTTGATGGAACCAACACTTGAGAACTATATTTAACATTTCCTGGAGACAACATCCAACTAAATCACAGATCAACAAACCCACAATTTCTACAATTTTACACAAATACAGAATGCACTTTTTGCAGGACACTGCTGGCATGCAAAACTAGAACTTGTGAGTGATCTACTGTTTTTGATACCTAGCCATGGTTCAAGATAAATTGGTTGCCCAGCAGCCATCTATATTGATCAGATATGTTATGACACAATGCCACCCTTCCGACCTTTTTGCAGGACTGTGATAGTTGGCATGATAGATGAATGTCCAAGAGAGCTCAATTAAATAATAAAGAAAAAAAAAATACAGTTATCAAAAACCTTATCTAACAGTGGTTCCTGTACAATCACTGAAGTTAAGCAACATTGAGCTGCTCAGTAGCTTGATAGGTGACTGCTTGGGAATATCATGTGCTGTTAGCTTGAATATGTAGGTGGTGTAACGGATGCTGGCTCGGAATTGTTAATTGGAGAGTAGAGTTCCAATTTCAGTTGGTTTTCTTATATCCACTTTACGTGCAAATACCTTTTTGAGAAAAGTATGAATCCACCTCTACTCCTCTCAGCTATGGGTTAATTAGTAAGACTTGTATCACTAAATCATTATCTCCCCCAAAAAATAGTTTTTTTTTTTTTACAATCTAAAAATATTTTCTGGCTGTAAATAACATGCAAAGGGTTGAAAAGCCATAGAAAACAAATCTATCAATAAAACCTTATATGAAAACCTTAGTTAAAATTATATGCATATTTCCTTGAAGGCCTTTGTAATTTTTACAGAACTGCAAAAATGTTCATATCAATTATCACTTGTAAATTCAGTCTTCATGATAACAATATTAACTTGCTCAATATGGAATAGAATAGCTTGTTGATGATGGAAAAGACTTGGTAATTATTTTTATTATATTTCTGTATAGAATCACTGATTCTTGAGATCAGTCTTATTGTAGAATTTAATCTTGATTTGAATGAGAGTATTCAGCTGGAATCTCTTTGGTTTTATATTTATGTCCTGGCTTGTTAGTATTAGAGGGGGAAAATAGGTAATTAATTACTCTTAAGATTAACATTGTAATTTATATTAATCTAGGCTGTCATGTAACTCAATGAAAATTTGCCCTCCCCCTACTGCAATTTAATTTCCCCTTCAATCATTTTGACATGCCAATTATCATAACAGTGAACTCTGTTGTCAGATTTTGGTAAAGGAATAGGATGTGTGATGAGATTTTAGTTTTTAATTTTATTTTCTTTTGGTTTTCACTAGCTCTTTCTGTGCATGTGTCCATTGTTTTTCACACAGTTTGTAGATGTATTCATAAAGCATGTGTATAGTATTTCTGAATGTTCTGAATGCTTAAAACACATACATGAATTAATGTGGTACATGTAAATTTTTATTTTTATATTTTCCTTTATTATTATTTGTAGAGTGAGTAACCATGATTAAATGTAAACAAATGGCAGAACTGCCCAACAAACAGAATTGACAAAGTTTGCAATAAGCAATAGCAAGAAAAGAACAGGACAAAAATAGTATAGAAGCAAATAAAAAAAAAAAAAAAAAAAAAGTAAAAACAGTAATAAGGCAAAAAGTTCACAAAATAAGTATTTTGGTTGAAACACACAAGCAAATTTGAATAAGTGAATGTAGAGTTCTGACCTCAAGACAAGACAGACTGAGTCAGATGAAACTGAGAACTGACCTATTTTATTGGCTAGGAAGAAATCCCAGCATGCATTTGTATGCTTCTGTCTATAAATTGGGGAGGGAAAAGTATTTTGCGACCATTCCAATAATGATTGGAACAAACATTAATTTTTTTTAAAACTAAAGATAACTTATTAATTATATTTATTTTTCTGCCCCTCCAAAACTATACAAAATTTGGTTGTTAATGTCTTTGGACTTTGTTTTTCTTTTTCTGTTCTATTGTAATAATTGTTAGTTTAATTCTGTTAAACTAACAATTACTTCAGTAATTCTTACTATCTCTAAGATTAATTGTCACCAAGAAATAAATTTTATCTCTATATAATAAAATTGTGACAATAATTTAATGTATGCATTGTACATGGCCAATAATGACATTAAAAGTAAAAGCTGGATATTTAAGTAGCTAATATTTCATCTCATAAGTGAGGTGAGTTGAATAATTGATTCTTAACTTTTTTCCAAGTGAAAAAAAAAATCTGGAGACCTGATAATTACCTAATAGTTAAAACTATTTCTTCAATGATGAATTAACTGTTATTATAAATGTAAAATCAACAATTTCCAAATATATATGGAAAAATCTAACTGCTTTCTAAATATCAGATTTGAAGAACATGAAGCCATTATCCAAAGTAAGATTAGGTATAGAAGACTATGCAAAAGGGAGCTAATTTCTTTTCTAGAATGCAGTCATAAGATGTGAATCATAATAAAAATTTTGTAAGGTGAAAGAATCATCCTCCCACTCAATTTCTAAAAAATGTAGAATTTTAACAGTATATGAAATCTGTAGCTCATTGAAACACATTTTAGCAACTAAAACCTCTTGTATCTGGGTTCAATGTAGGGTTCAAATTCTACCCTTGACTCATGTAGAATCTTTACCTGGCTTTTCATTTAGAAATGAGTCTCTACTGTGTGATTTGCATATAACTTTGTCCATGGTTTTTAGCATCTCTAAACTAAATCCCCCTCCAATAGTCCTAAAGGAATGGGTTTCGGAAATGGCCCATTCTCTTTAAACTCTGTAATAATTGCCTTTCTGCTTTTTACTTTCCTGCTAGTTGGAAATCCCTTTCTGCAGTTCCTGTTTAAAGAACTTAGGTAAACCTTTTGACTATAGATCTATTCTACTTTTTGGTAAAGTACTAGAGGCTCTAATCAACTCTGAATTGGTTAAGCATCTCACTTTGCAGGGTATTCTTTGAGACGAGCAATATGGCTTTTGCTTTTCTAGGTCAACTACTGATATGTTAACAGTTAGTGCTGAATGAGTCTATCAAGCTTTAGATAAGAATGGTGAAGCTTGGGTTGTTGCTTTAGGTATCTCAAAGCCATTTGGCATACTGGTCTTCTTCACAAATTGAAAGGTTATATTTCTGGATGAATTTTTGATTTGATTAAATCTTATCAAATTGCAAAATGAAAGTTATCTTGAATGACCACTCTTCTACATCTTTCTGCATTAATGGGGATGTCTGCCAAAGCTCTATTCTTGGACATACATTGTTAATTTTCATCGATAACCTTCCTGATATAAAAAGTTCCCAACTTGAGATCTATGCTGATGAACAACTAATTACTGTCTTGATGGTGTAATCATTTCGATAAGGTCAAATTGGCAGCTGATTTAGAAAATGATCTACAATCTGTTAACTGGGGCTTGTTAATTTTAATGCCCCCAAAATGAAACTTGCCTTCCATCAGGAGAGTCATTCATGTCTTCTCTGGCCAATGTTTTCCTCTGACATGAAGTGGAAAGACTATATTGAGTCAATTGCTAGGTCTGCTGCTAGGAAACTTGGTTCCCTTTATTGTTAGACAATTTTGGGGGCCCAGGATATATCTTATGCATTTATAAGTCTACAATTTGTACATATATTGAATATTGCTGCCACATCTGGTCTGTTGCTTCTATGTATTTAGATATTCTTGATAAAATCGAAAGAAGTATCTGCAATGTTATCAATCCTGACATCTCAGCTTCAGTCACTTTCCCACTGCTGTAGCATAGCTTTTCTGTGCATTTTCTATAAATATGTTTATAGTAATTGTTCTGATGAGCTTTGATTTTTGGTACATCAACTTTGCTAATTTAAGCATGCTGTTAAATTGGCAGCAAGGTTTCATCATTTTACAGTTGAAATGGCTAGATGTAACCATAAATTCTCTGATAATAGTTTCTTCGATTTTAGTTTTCATTTGTGAAACTCTTAGCTTGCTTTTCAGTCAACTTTGATCTTCAAAAATGTCAATTATTATCGTCTGCTTTAATTCCAGTTCTTTTATTCTTTTCTTTCCTTAATAATGTTTTTGTTTTCTTGTATTCTTTCACACTATTATGTCTTAGTGGTTTTTTTGCCTTGCTAGGGGTGAAATGATTTTAAAAAATGATTGAATACACTGTAGCATATGTTTATATTTTATTTAAAAAAAAATGAATATTTTGGCATGCATCTAATATTTTTAAATACTGATAATTTAAAATTTTTTTTTTTCTAAACAGCCTGTGTGGTGCGACCTAATGTGCTTTCTTTCATCTATGGCATTTTGCTGCTGTTGACACCTTTGTGTAAAAGTCCAACTCCAGAATCTATTAAAGGTAAGTTGATGATTTTATAAATTCATATTGACAAATATTGAGAAATAAGCAATTCCTTTCAAAAACGGTCATAATTTTGTGAGAATCTGGTTTAGATTTCTATAAAGAAAAAAAAGGGAGAGAAAAAGAGAAAAAAAAAGGTCTTCACCCAGAATGTCAGGCTTTGTATTTCGCATTGTTGGTGAGCACTTCAAAATTCATGTAACTTATTTAAAATAATAATGGCTGTGATCTGGCCTCTCTTTATCAAGCAATATAGTAAATAGAAAATATTGTCCAATGACTAATGTCATTAGGAATGTGTGCAGTTGTCTTGTTTATACAGTCTGTCAGTAGGTGATGGGGATAATGCACTTGACAAAGGATTAACTTTTTAATCTTAATCTATTAATGTAAGAAGCCTGTAGGATTTATTTACAGACATGTTTTGTTTAGCATTTAGTTTGAGAAAACCAAACAATGCAATGTAACCTTATTACACTTGTTTTATAAATTGGATTGTCTTTAAGCTGTATTGCATGTTGACATTGTTCAGGTTGTGGAAAAGCTTTTGCATTATGGACTATAATGTTTTGATTGCAAGGCTTTCTGATCACTTTTATGTCATGTGACTTTGTACACAATCAACATGACTGTTCTTGTGTGAAATATTGATTCTTTTTCTTTCCTCTCCTCTATAAATGTGGTTAAAAGGCTATGGCAACTCATCAGTTATTTGATGACACTGTCTTTTTAAGAGTTGTTTGCTTTCATTGATAGACTTTTTTTATTGTATTTAAAACCAATATTCATAGGATTCTCCTGCTGTACTAAAAAAACCATTGCCAGCAATAATTTTTTATAAACTGGGCTTCTTTTTAATTTCACTAGATATTTATCAAACATCATATTTGTGCTGATAATACTATAATACCTTGGTACTTTTTGAAAGCTGTTGTTAGTTCTAACAAAATGTCACAATTCATTGTGAATATGGGTTTGAGTGTATGGGCCTTGTTCAAATTGTTGATCAGGCTAGATTATACACTCTCTCCTAGAAGCTCTAACTAAGGTCTACTCAGCATAGTTGCACTATAAACCACATGTTGGCTCTGTATCCAAACAGTGGTTTATACTGTAACAATGTACAGTGTTGAAGAAATACAAATGTGCTTGAGCAGGTGTCTGCAACAGGGATCAGTTAGCCACCTTAGCAGATGGGCATACCCAGAAATGGGTGGCCTATAATTACCATTTTGTATGCTATGGTCATATAATCAGTACCAAGGTGACATTTTGAAAATTCTGCCATACATTCTGCTCTTGGGTCATCTGTGCTGTATAATAATTTATGTCCAATGCTACTTATTGTGAATTTTCATTATTTTTATAGTAATATTGTATATATGATTATTATTTTTATAGTAAAATATTGTATATATGATTTTAAGTTAAAATGTTGGCTTGTAGGTATACAGATGTCTTGAATTTGAACTCTATAAAAATTACCAGCATCACTTGGAAAAATCTAGGTGCTGTGATATTTTGCCAAAAAAATCCTTCATGTGATATGAAGGATCTATTTGCTTGGTAATTGCAAATTCACCAGTCACACATAATACAAACTTGCTCAATAGTGTTTTGGTGCTGACTAAATAACTCTGATATAGTAAGGTCCCCTCTGATTGGTTGCCAAGTCTCACCAAGGACATGCAACTGGTTCTCAAGATAATAAAAATAGCTGGATATGTTCCAGAAAGACCTTGTATGGCATAGATAGGTATTTAGTCCAATCATCAACCATCTTCCTCTTTCTTTCACATTAAATTATGCATATCAGTTCATTTCAACTGTAACCAGATTTCTGTGTACATGATAACTGAGCAAATTTATATTTTTTATTATCTATAGCCCCACATGTGTAGTACTGGTATTTGACATCAAACTCAGCACTTGTGAATTTTGATAAAATTACCAGTTTTTGTACTATTTAAACATTGCTGATGTTTTTATTTTTAAAAAAATCAAAGTGGCTATATAAATGTATTAGTCACTCAGTCTGATCTCCCCTACTAAGATATTCCATTATGAAAAAAAGATGCATTACCCAAAAATAATATGCAAATATGCTTTCTGTTAGCATAACAATGGTGTAATAATTTATTTGTAAAATATTAAGAACCAGTTGTTAATATTTTTATGTTTCTTTCTTTTCGTCTGTGTTAGTTTCTATCAGAAACTTTATTTTAATGATTTAAAAAGTAAAATTCTTTTTTGCAACAATTTCTAAGTTACTCTTGCAAAAAACTGAAACTGATGGAATTGTAAAACTTAAATATTGTACTTTATTTTTTAAAACTTTATGGTTAATTTGGATGTGAGTGATGTTCAAAAGAGATGAAGAAAAAAAATTCAATTTGGGTTGTGTGTGGAGCAAAAGTGTCAAATCTTTTTCACTTAGTGAGTTTTGTAACATTGTCCTAAATTTGCCTGCTTTAAAAAGACAATGTCTTCTATGTGCCGTGTCTGATTGTGGCTCTCCATAACTTCCTGTGCTTTGTAGCTCTGAGTAAAGTTTGTCTGTCTGGTATCTCTCCTAATCTCTGTTCTACCAACCATTTAAACAAGCTTGTTAGTCATTTACTGCTTTCTCTCTCGCTTTCAATATGTTCTGTGAGTGTCAAGTTCTCCAAGCCCTCTTTCCCTGTGTACACTAGAAATTTCAATTGTTTTTTTCTGGTTTTAAGTACAAGCGGCTCCTTTGTTTCCATTTTCCTAAAATGTCCTTGTTACATGTTCAGTCCATAGTATTCTCAGCATCTGATTGTTTCCTGAAGTTGGGTTTAAATAATTCTGTTTTCTGAGGCAACCAAGCACATTCACTCAAAATACAATATTTCTACTCTTCTTGCTGTCAAAACATTTATGTAATTTCAAAATGTGCAATACCTGTATTGTATAAATGCTCATGGTTTGAAATATATCTTCTTCCATTGATTTCTTAACACAGCTATATTCATTTGCAGGCCATTGTCATATTAAACACCTGAAATACCACCTGACTTGCATATTTTTTTATTCTTTTTACTTCAGTATCCATTAATATCTGTACTTTGAAATAACAAACCTACATAGAACAAATGTTCTTAATGTTAAAGTATACTTGTCCTTTTCTCGATATCATTGACTTTTTGTTTGGCTAAACATCTGAATAGTACAAGAATGTTGTATTCAGCTGTGTTAGACATTTCAAGAAGCACTCTTATTACTACATTATTTCTTAAAAAAATATAAACATTCCAACATAAATTCTCACATTGTGAAAACAATAAGAAAATACTAAATTTCAACTAGAGTAAGTATGTAGAAATGTAACAAATGTTTTTTTTAATGATACAATAGGTATGTACTTTTCTACATGCTTATCAGGTTGCTTTAGGTCTGTTTATGATCCAGGTAGAAATATTTTTAAATTGTTTACAAATGTATAGGAGGGCATTATATGATTTACAGAATTTCTGATATATCGGAAAACCAATGTACAAATTCATGTTATTAGAAACCATATCATTTAACAGAGATGCTATGTTTTTAGTGTGGTGAGTCTCCAGGACTGATTTGGGTGCATCCCTGGGAAATTTAATGGGTCCTAGCTAAAATTTCTATGTAATTTTTTGTATTAAACTGTGTTGCTACAAACTTTTTTTTTTTAAACCATCATGACAAAAATCAATTTTAATTATGCCAACTCACTTGAATTGACAGAACACATTTTTTTTTTTTTTTATTAAATTAATAAATTCAAAACAAAACCAGTATTTAGTTAAGAAACTATATTTTTTGAGAATTATGACAGAAGGAAGTTTTTTAAATTGACAGAACAAAAGTTTTTTTTAATTGTACTGTAAATAAAAATAAACAAAAAATGTTTGGTAATCTTCAGTGAGTTCATGGGGTCAAATAAAAAAAAAAATTGAACCAAGTTTCTGGTAAGGCAAAATTGAGATCTGTTTCATGCCACACACACACACACACACACACACACACTACTGTCCAATGAAAGCAGGAAAGAGTAAGTGAAAGGAAGGAAGAACTAATAAATGTATTTGAAAGAACATGTGCAATATACTGCTTTTTGTAGGAAAGTTACTGTGTCCTTTAAGATTTTTATACATCAGGGACTCAGGACACGAACAGACCTATCAATATCTCTGATTTAACTGATATCATTTTATATATCCATTCTGTCACTAAAGATGCTGGAAACATGGTTGGCTCCTTGTACAGTTTCAGAAAGTACCTTACTCTTTCTGCTATGTTTTATCTTTTAACAAAAATTTGAATTACACAGGAAACTGAGTATTACTACCATGTCTGAGATGAAGCTGCTCAATCTTTACTTTCCAGAAAATTGTTTATATGGTCTTGTAGGGGATCATTTATTTTTTCACACTTTGGTCACCCTCCCCCCAGACAATACTGCATGCCTATTACTACTCTATTGCTGTTTCTATGGCAGCTGTTCAGATGAGTTCTACCAATGCCAACTTTTACAGCTAGGACTTGCACACAGACTTGAATCACCTATATTTTTGTTTGCAAGGAAGAAGTGCTACACACAGTTTTTTCCTGAAAACTGCTACTTTGTTGAACAAACTCCCATGTTAGATGTTTCCCTGAACACTACAATCTTAATCTCTTCAAGTCAAGGGCCAATCGCTATCTTTCCTGTTTATCTTTGTAATCTTCACTGCCTTCTATCTCCTCTTATGTTCATATCACATACCTCATTCAGTAACGTTCTACCATGGTGGCTCTTGAGCCTTGTGGTGAGGGAATGTTAGTATATAATAAAAAAAAATGATAATTTGCATGATATAGATGATTATCTTTATAGTATCATGGAAATACCAAGTGTTGTAAGTTTTGATGTGTGGGTGGTGTTATGTGTAATGGTTTTGAATTGTTGATTGAAGAGCCAAGTTTCAATTCCCATTGGGTTTGTTATATTCATTTACATG